CTGCACCGTCAAATTTTTATCCAAAACATCAACGCTAATCTCTAACGCTATTCTCAAACAGGCCCTTTATCTCAGTGACCATCCTGTCAGATCTGAGGGGATTCTCGAGAGGAGCTAATGCCAAGAACCCTCATTCATATATTATCCTATCGCACATTTTTTTATGTGGATAAAAAAAATGAATAAGAGTTGTGTGGTATGAAGTTTGGTAGTGTGAAAATGGGATACAATTTTGATGTACCTTTAGTATTACTCAATTGAAACAAACAATTTTAAGACTAAGTTTTTTGTTTTTTCACAAACACACTTTTGACTTTATAAAAAATGATTCGAAAATAATTCAGACATTTTGGAAATAACCCTCAGCCTCACCTAAACCTCTCACCCCAAGCTCTGATCCAAGCCCCCTACACCCCTCCCTCCCTTGCAATATACTCCCTCCGTCCCTCTAAGATCTTCTCGTTTTGACTTTTTGTGGTTTTTAAGGAGAGTTGAAAAAAGTTGAAAGTTTACCATAATACCCTTAATGAAAATGGGTGGAGTGTATTAAATGAAATGGGTGGGGTGTAATAAATAAAGTAAGTGGGGGTAGTTGTGCTATTTTAATTGTTAAAAAGGTAATGAGAAGATCTATGGTGGACAAATAAAAAGGGCCAATGAGAAGATCTATGAGAGACGGAGGGAGTAGTACTCTCTTCATCCCTAAATAATTTACATACTTTATTATTCAAAAATCATGGAAATTTTTATTTATTTATATGTTTTATTAACTATTTGATGAAATAAAATATTCTTCTCATCTCTTATTTTGTAAAAAATTAATGTACTTTTTAAATATGTAAGTTTTGTTATTAATATACTAATCTTAAAATAAAATGAATTGGAAAAACTTAAAATTTTATTTTGATTTGTGTAAAAAGTAAATAATTTAGGGACGGAGGGAGTGGTATACACATAGTGGCAGAAGAGGAAGTAAGGCAAGGGGCTGGGGTAGTGCAGGCGGGCAGTGGAAGCTTAAATATATAGGAGATTTATAATGGTGGTTAGAGAGTAAGAATCATCAATTTCTAAAACAAAACAATATATATACCCACATCATTGTTGTTTATTTATATAATTTCAATATTTTATAGAATTTTTTTATTCACTTTTGAATTATACAATTTGTTTCATGAAAAAAATATAATTTTGTTTAACTATATACTCCCTCCGTCCCTAAATATATCTCACATTTGCTTTTTCAGCCGTCGCAGAAACTTTTGTTTATTTCTACGTTTTCATTGAATATTTGATAAAATAAAATATTCTTGAGACCTCTTATTTCTAAGAACTTTTCATGTAGATTTTTGATATGTAAATTTTATTTTGTATTTTTATACCAATATATAAATAAAATGAATTGAAAAAACTTGATATTTTACCTCGGTAATAGAAATGTGAGATATATTTAGGGACGGAGTGTGTACAACAATAATTAGTTTTAAGTGAATATAAACCTTGTTCAACCCCTTAGTAATAATAATAATAGTAATAGTAATAGTAAATAAATAATAATAATAATAATAATAATAATAATAATAATAATAATAATAATAATAATAATAATAATAATAATAATAATAATAATAACAACAACAACAACAATAATAATAGTAATAATCATCATCATCATAACATGAACAACAACACTACTAATAATTGAAAATAAGAAATATAAGAATATTTGGTCAAACGAACATATTTTTATTAGTAAAATTTGTACTAAATGGTACTAAAATATTTGTCATTCCTCAATGGAGTACTTAAACTTTTTTCTTCCCTAAATAGTACTTGAATAATGTCTTGAGGCGGGAATAATATCCATTGATGATGGACATTTAATTTGAACAATATCCAGTGACGGTGGATATTTACTTGAATAGTAACCTGTGGACATTAAACAATGACACTATAATACTATATTATAAAATAAAAAATATGATACTATTTTGGGAAAGTCGCTAAGTTTTAATGCTATTTACATAAATTTGTCTTTTTTATTATTCTATATTGCACTTTAATAAAAACTTGAAATAAATAATAGGGAGTAATGGTAAATATCACATAAAACATATTGCATACATTAGTGATTCATTAATTAGCAATGTATTTATCATAAGTATTCTATATATCAAGTATATAATATAATAAGACTATTTTATTTAAAATTGAATTTTATTTGTAATTACAAACGAAATATTTAAATCTGGGCCAAGCGAGCCCAAATCTTGCGGGCACCAATGCGGGCCGGGCTAGGACTTTAATTTTTAAGCCCATAATGTCGACCGGGATTATGCCTAGAAAGTTTTCGTAATATTGTGTTTTGGCCTGACTTGAACTTAGCCCAGTACATATATTGATTAGGTCGATGCAATGGTAGATAATCCTTTTATAAATCCATTGGTTGTATCTAGCAAGACCAATGAAACTCCATGCCTCAAGTACATTTCTCAAAAGCTTCAACTCCATGATCACTATATTTTTGGACGGGTGTGACTCCTTCCTTAGAGATTATGTGGCCTAAGAAGGTGGCTTAATTAAGCCTGAAACCGTATTTTGATAGCTTAGCATACAATTTATACTTCCTTCGTGCACTGAGTACACATCTGAAATGTCGAGCATGCTCCTCACATCTCCTCGAATGCACTAAGATATTATCAATGAATATCACCACGAATTGATCAAGATAAAGTATAAGATGTTGCTCATTTGATCCATGAAAACGGAGTGAGGGGAGTTAGTTAAACCGAACAACATATATGATTATGAACTTATTATCTCTATATCATGTGCGGAATGTCATCTTTGGTATGTCTTCATACTCCACAAGTGTCTGATGGATTATAAATCAAAGATCGATTTTGGAAAACATTATAGCTCTTTTAAGTTGGTCAAAATATCATTAATATAGGGTTAGGGGTACTGGCTCTTTACCTATAGTTGTTATAGAGTGATATCGATCAGTCATTTTTTGAACAAAAAGAATGGGCACTCTGATCCCCATGTAGATGCATTGGGCTAAATGAATCCCTTGTCCCAAAACTCTTGTGATTGGACTTTAAACTCCTTCATTTTAACTGGTGCCATATAGTAGGGGGTTATTAATATCAATTTGATTCCTTTAGTTAGTGGCAACTCAAGTAACTCGTTACGAAAGGCATCCAGATAGTTGAACATAATAAGAATTTCCTTTCGTTCTAGAGCCTCCTTTTAGACATGATAGACATTACAAATAAACACATCACACTTCTTCTTGATCAGGCACTTTAGCATGCATGAGCAATATAAATTTCAAAGTTTGGGAGAAATACTCCATAAAAACAGTTGTAATACTCTATGTTAACATGAAATGGGAAGAGCTCAAAGTGATTGATAGTACTACTCATACCAAAAAGATGCATCTTCTTTTCGAGAGCTCATTACCTAGAAACACTAAAGTTAAGCGTCCCAGATTTGAATCAATTCTAAGATGGGTGACCCATTGGAAAGTTTTCTGAGCGTGCATGAGTAAGAAAAAAGTATGCGAGAAAGACATGTGTTGATTTGTGGGGCGAGTGTAAAATCCAATGAGCAGACACTTTTGGCCAGGGCGGGGGTTGAGGTGTTATAAATGGTATCAAAGCAACCCTGCAACCGGGACATACCAACGAGCTTAGGTCACCTAGCGGGGACAACTTAGAGAATTGAAAAAGGGTGCAACAAGGACGTTGCATTCATATGGGGGATGAATGTAATACCCCATTTTAACATGGAATGAAAAGAGCTCAAAAGGATTAATTGTATTACTTTAAAAACTTCAAAGTTAAGCGTGCTGGACTTGGAGTAATTCTAGGATGGATGACCCCCTGGGAAGTTCCCTAGGCGCGCACGAGTAAGGAAAAATTGTACGAGAAGGACTTGTGTTGATTTGTGGGGCAAGTCTACAATCTTATGAGTAGATACTTTCGTGCAGGGAAGGGGGTCGGGGTGTTACAACTGTAATACTGTCACGGTCGTTAGCTCTCAATTATACAGTCATCCGTCCTCGCGTAAAAGTCTATTGGGGAATCATGGTTGGTGAGCCAATCCATACCAAGATTACATTAAACTATTTGAATTGTATGATAAACCCATTTTTTAAACGGAACACCGTACGACCCTCATGTCATCCCATGACATTAGTCCTAATGTCATGGGAACTAAGGCGTTATTCAATACTTTTTTCAACTTATTTTGCGACGAATGGCCTAATAAAGGTGCCCCTAAGACCATGTGTTATTGGGTATGATGTAGAGTGATAAAAATATGTATTCGGCTATGTGGTATGAGGAAGGGATGATGGGTGATGATTGAATAAAAATGGTATGATGCGGAGTAATGAAAAATGTGGTATGGTGAGTGATTGGGGATTATGAGTGTGAATATGTGTTAAATTTTAATTGGTTAGAAATTAGAAAAATAAAATAAAAAACAAAATCCTCCCCTCACATGCGGATTGTCATCGCCTCTAGTAGTGCCACGCCGCCCGGTGTGGCACGGCGGAGGGGACACGACGGTCGATCACCACTTCCAGATTGCACCCATACCAGATAGTCTTATGGTGAGTGTGAAGTGATTTGACGAGATGCAAATATTATTAAATTTTGATGGTTTGAAATATATAAGAAAAATTAGAAAGAAAGAAGTCATCACTATATGATGGACGTCACGTTAATTGGGACAACGCCCATTGGGGATGCATATGTAATGGATGAGTGGCTTGATGGAAGGTACCCAAGTCCCTCCTCACATTCCATAACACAATGTCTAACAAAAACTAGGGTTCGAAATAGCACAACCTTTTTTTGGTCATTGGGCCATTAATTAATTATCTATGTGGTTGCCTAATACGGAGTAAATGAATCAAATTTTTGGTCATTGGGCCAATATAAAATTACTGTGATGTTCAAAAAACTAAGTTTTTATCCCTGTACATGGTACAGTTGATTCTGCAACTCCCTGGTCCCTGAAATAAATTTACCTACCCTCCGCCCAATACAAGAAGGCCTCAAGACTCAAATTCCCCTCTGAATCTCTTACCATTTCTCTACATCCTTCTCCTGCATTTGCTCTCTCTCTCCCTCTCTCTCTCTCTCTCCTTTTCTTCATCTTCTTTGCCAAGTTTGTTGTCTTCATGATGAGCAGTGGAAGAGGCAGGTTACCATTCACTGCAAACCAGTGGCAAGAACTTGAACACCAAGCTCTTATATACAAATACATGGTATCTGGCATGCCTGTCCCTCCTGACCTTCTCTACTCCATCAGAAGAAGTCTAGATTCTTCTCTCTCCTCCAAGCTCCTCCTCCACCAACCTCCTCAATGTATTCTCTCTTTTCCCATATCTGTTACTCCCTGTTTAGTGTCACACACACACACACACACACAAAAGTTTGAGTCTTTATACACATTACACATAAAAAAGCATTTTTGACAAAAAAACAAGAATGGTGGTAATCTTGAATGTGTTTTATGCAGAAATGTTTGTGAAGTTGTGATTTTTATGCATGGTTTGATTGTTGTGTTTGGAAAATGTGAAAAAGATTGGATTTTGATGAGAAGGGCACATTTCGTTTTGGAATCTAATGCTGAAATTTAACAGCATAACAGTCCAACAACAGTTGATTTGACTATGCTATGCTTATGATGCATTATACTACTATTCAACATATGGTTTTAAAGGCAAAATAGTGGATTTTGTTGATGTGAGTGCAGTGGGGTGGAGCTGTTTCCAGATGGGGTTTGGAAAGAAGATTGACCCAGAGCCAGGGAGGTGCAGAAGAACAGATGGGAAGAAATGGAGGTGCTCAAAGGAGGCCTACCCAGATTCCAAGTACTGTGAGAGGCACATGCACAGAGGCAGAAACCGTTCAAGAAAGCCTGTGGAAGTTCTGAGTACAGTGACATCAACACCATCCCAAACACCCCCTAATTCCATTCCCTATTCATCATCATCTTCTTCTTCTTCATCAATGAATAAAAACACATGTACCCCTTTGCTCTATACCCATTCGTCCTCTTCAAGGCCTCATGCCATTGCTTTGTCTTCTCATGGGGACCACACAACCAATTTCCTCCTAGACTCTGGTCCTTATTCTAGGTCTGAAATTATTCTTGGACTGTTTTTTAGGCTTTTTTCTTCCAAAGATTCAATTTTTTTCTTCTTGTTTTTAATTGATGATAAATTGTACACATTGGTAAATGGTAATGCAGAAATGGATATGGTCATGTCATTAAGGAGGAAGTGGTGGATGAGCATGTGTTTTTCTCAGAGGCTTCTGGGAGCATAAGAAGCACAACTGGTTCAAACTCAGTAGATGAAGACACAACTTGGCAGCTTGCTCCACTTACAATGGCATCTTCATCACCCTTAGGGCAGTTGAAAGAGAGGGACTATTGTGTTTCTCATGATGGGTACTCCTACCTGCAGCTTAATGAGGCCTCCAGACATCATCAGAGACAAGAAGATGATTACTATGGTCTGGGGAGCAAAGATGATCATCAGCCCAAGAAAGTGATGCACCATTTCTTTGATGAATGGCCCAAAGAAAACAAAGATTCTTGGCTTGATTCTGGGGATAAATTCTCCACCCATGGGTCCCACCTCTCCATCTCTGTCCCAAACTCATCTCATGACTTCTTCATGACCCACAATGGTATGACGACCTATCAGCTCTAAACTTAGCCCACACATTTCTCTTCAATTGCTCAAATTGGTATCTAATTATGACAATTTTTCTGTGACAACTCTTTTCCATAAGTCCAGATCTTGCAAGGGTTCTTGACTATAAACATTCAAGAAAATCCCATTTTACACTCTCTGCACTTCAAAAGCATTGTTTTTTTTTTCACTTCAAAAACATACACTTTAAAATAATTCAGGGTAATAATTAACAGCAACCCAAGTTTCCATATTTGTGCAGAAAGAAAGTGATAAACCCATTACAAAAAATGGTTCAATTCTGCAGTACAAATGTGTTTTTGACTATAAACTTGGTCTTTTATTGTGCAGAAAAGTGAGGAAGGTACAGTGGGGTGGCTTTGTGTCTCTGAAGCAAAGGCCAAAAGAGTGATCAAGGGAAATGGTTGTGGGGGCACTGCCTTTACTGGTCTCTTGCTCTCAGTAAACATGTGTACTGCTCAATAGCTTGCTTGTGTAATTTATATGGTAGTACTTGAATTAGAAGTTTGTGTGTGTGTGGAGGAGCAGTGGGAAATGTCTGACCACTGGCCAATTCCACATGTGTTTTGGCCTTTTCTGTTCCACTTTCTTCTTAATCCCCCATTCCAACATTTTCATGTTTTTTTTAAGTATTATTGTTATGTTTGGAAGGCTCTTCTTGATGTGTGGCTTAAAGCCACAGGTTTTGGAAGTTTGTTTCTTTATGAGATTCTATATCTTAAGCATCATCATCATCATGATCAAGATCTCTTCTTTTCCTGCCAAAGATGTTTTCTTTTGTTTTTTTTTGTTTTTGTTACATCCACTTGCTAAGAGGAAATAGGTCACCCAGGTCAACATTTGGGTCAACACATTTCGAGCCGGGTTAGGTTCAGTTTGGGCCAACTTTAGGTTTGGTTGGGTTCGATGTACTTCAAGTGGCGGGATCTTTGGCCCAACACATTTTGGGTAAGATTTGGCCCGGTCTAGGTTCAGTATGGGCCAACTTTGGGTCAATGTACTTTGATTTGAGAAGTAAAAATTTAAAAACTTGTCGAATAACACAACGGTTTCTAATAACACCACGGTTTCCATGACATTAAAATCAATGTCATACGATGACCCGAGATCCCTACAATACTCTGTTCGAGAAATGGATAGTTTTTATCTCCCTAACCCCCCTTGTAAACTCTCCCCAACTCGGCTCTCCCTTGTCTTCGTCAATTGCACCCACAACTCGGCCCTTAAAAACGCTTCTCGTATTAATATTTAAGATATTTAAGTAGAGTAAATTTAGTGTTGACTTTTTCAAAACCTTCTTAGATGTGATAGATAAAAAAAAAATGTGAAAGATTAATTAGTACTCCCTCCGTCCCAAATTATAATGCCTGTTCACTATTCACAGGGTCAAACTTCATTCACTTTCTTTCTCTATTTTCGTTAGCATTTTGGTAAAATAAAATATTGTTGTCACTACTAGTTTTGTAGATCTTTTGATGTAGTATTTTAATATGTAATTTTTATTTTTTAACTCTATACCATTTGTCGTATAAAATGATTTGAAAATAACTTCAGTCAAACATCGTAAACCGAAACAGGCGTTATAAAATGGGACGGAGGGAGTAGTAAATTGGTATGTGATAAATAATAGTTAAAGAAAATTCTATGTGTAAAAATCACTTTTTAATAGAAAATGAAAAAAAATTAGGGACGAATGAATAGTGAAAAATGTAAAAAGTTTTAGAACGAAGAGAGTAGTATACTACTCCCTCCGTCCCGGAAAACATGTGAGTTTTAATTTTGAAGAGGATTTAAGGAGAGTGTATTTTGGTATTAAATTTCCAAAAATGTCCTTTGATGTAATGGGTAAAAGTATGATTTGATGGATAGATTATTAGTAAAAAGGTATGATGTGATAGGCAGGGTATGAAAAAGTAAGGGGTAAAAGTGACTTTTTAATAGAAATGAGAATTTTTTTTGGGACGGATGAAAAAAGAAATGAGAAATGTTTTCAGGGACGGAGGAGTAATACTTAGAGTATTTTTAATTTTCTTAAAATAGCATTTGGATGTTCAACTTTTAGACGAGTCCTATCTATGGACAACCGGTCTTCTTACAATTCCAAATTGGTCTAAGTCCTTAACAACTCCTCCACTAGTCTCGGACCAGTCCAAGTCCTTACAAACTAAGTACCTGATTAGTCCAATTGATTTATTTGGTCCCAATTTTTGGTGTCTTGATCTAGTCGATCTTTGTGGTCTCTATCCTTTTACTCTTCTCTAATTCTAGCAAAAGATTCTGATTTATATTGTGTAATTTTGTTCTATTTAGTCTTCAGTAAAGGACCTAAGTTTATACTCCCTCCGTTCCATGAAACCTTTCTCCTTTCTTTTTTTATCCGTCCCACAAAACACTTTTCATTTCTATTAAAAAGTTATTTTTACCCCTTACTTTTTCATACCCTAACTATCACATCATACTTTTTTACTAATAATCTATTCATCAAATCATACTTTTACCCATCACATCAAAGGACATTTTTGGAAATTCAATACCAAAATACACTCCCCTTAAATCCCTTCTAAAAAGCAAAAGTACCATGTTTCATGGGACGGAGGGAGTATATTTTTAGAATCAATGTGAGGATAAAGTTCAAGGATGAACATCCCATTCACACAGACTCTCGAAGAAAGTAGCACCCCACGTTAATAAATGTGTTGCTTCATTAGTAGAGCGATTTACAAAATATCCCATTCATTAATACAGCACTTCAAAAGAAAAAAATGGCATTAAAACAATTTTGTAGATAAAAGCATAATTGTACAGTGCTATGAACTAGTCCCGAATCCATTTACCTACCAAAAAAGAGGTAAAAATAAGATCTCCGCTGCCGGGCTTCGAACCCGGATATGATAGCCTTTTCAAATCAGAATGACTGTGCTACAGCGGAATTAGAAGCGTCCTTGAAATTAGGTTGCAAACTTTTTAAATTTATACTAAGCCTTTGTTCTCAATGCGTAAGAATTATGGCACTGATCTCCTCAGGGCTAAAGACTCTAAGGGTCCGTTTGGTACACGGAATTGATGGTAATGGAATTGAATTGGAATTAAAATTCCATGAGATTCAATTTTATAGAAATTGAATTCACCAATTCCAATTCATTTTTTGCATTACTAATTCCAAATCTACATAATTTTGTGCTACCAAACACTAGAATTGGAATTGAAGTCCTCAATTCCAATTCCATAGTTTGAATTTCGTGTACCAAACGGAGCCTAACATCCCTATAAGTCTACTTTTAAATTTGAGATTTTAGTTTTTATTTTTAAATTTGAAATTTGAAATGTTTAGATTTTATTTTATTAGACGAGGTTCTTTGTTATAAAACAAAAAGGATATGTGCGATTTGATTTTGACCCGTACAAATCAAATCTTGGATTTTCCAAGTCTTTGCACGTGCTATTGAATTCAAAATGTGGATCTGAAAAATTTGGAATTAGAATTCAATTCAAATTTCATCTATTTTTGAGCTACCAACAGCAGAATTGAAATTAAAGCCTTCAATTCCAAATCCACAGACTGAAGTCTGTGTACCAAACGGAGCCTTTTAGCTTGTTGGAGGGTTAGTACATTTCGGAAGTATATAGCCTCAAAAACCCTAACAATTTAGACGTGTTTCACTTTTACTTATAAGTCAAAAAAAGGTCATACTTATTTTTAAGTTCATATTTTTATGCCAAGGACCTTGTACAATGACATCGTTATGACTTTTCTTAATGAGACTTCACATGTTTGATCTTCATTGCAGACAGTAACTTTACAAACTCTAATAGATTGAAAATATATATGAATAATTACTACATTTTAATAGAATTATTAAAGTGTTTAAAAAAAAAGTTCATACTTTTATATCTCCATTATGCCAAACTCATTTACAGATTGATCCCTAACATTTTATCCCTAACATTTTATGAATCTTCTAAATGAGTTGATAGCTATAAACCAACGAATATATTAAATTATATGAATTTTATCGAGAGAAAATGCAAAGTAGGGAGTATATTCACTTAGAATTTGGATCCTTTACAATGAGGGGTATCACTCTTTTTATAGAGGATACATACAATACACTAAGCTTCTCCGTCTTGTCCCTTTCATCCTATCGCTATCGCGTGGTCAACGTCGCTGGTCGCTATCCTCTCGTCGCTGTCATGTTGTCCGAGCCGAGCCCGGGAGGTACCAGCCGAGCTCGTAGGCCAAGCATAGCGGTTCTCCACGTGGACGAGGGGCCTAGCGAGCTGACGTCACCCTAGGAGTTATCCTCCATCATGAGTCATCTTTCATTGAAGTTACTATACTTTAAATACATCAACAAACAACTTAAAATACCATGTTGGTTTAAAAATATTCTTTTCATACATTATTTACACGATTAATTTTTATTCATTTTGTTTATGTATTTCCATTATTTGTTTCATAATACTTTCTCTGTCTCAAAAAAAATTTATTTTTTTCGCAACCTCCCAAAAAAATTCTCTTTCTTTCTATGAAAAACTTTGAGTGGTCACAATTTTTTTCTTTATTCTGTATCATTTTCAATCACACATTTTACTTTCTTTAAATTTGTATGATGTCAAATTGAAAGTCTTTTTTTCGGATGGATGAGTAATATACGTCCAAGAACCAAAACTAAACAAAATACTAAAACTTAAGGTTATTGCTGATTTTTTAACATTCTAACACGTGACCTCTTTTTTAAAAATTGGATGACGCAGAGTTTCAAACATGTGACATCTTAGTCAAGAAGGCTCTGATACATATAAGAAAGTCAACTCAACCAAAAACTCAAGCTTGTGATCCCGAAATAGTTTTTATATTCTAACAGTTTTTTGTAAAAAATTTTAAGTTTTTTAAAGAACATAAATTTATTTTTAATCTTATACTCCATACTTATAATCATAAATAAAAAATAATTTAATTTAAATTTCGTAAAACGAAATTGGAAGAAAATTTTTCGAAAGAAAAAAGTGCTCCCGCCCTCCATTAATTTCTCTCACTTTCCTTTTAATGAAAATGTCATTATACTTTCACTTTTTATCTATACTATTTACTTTATTTTATTATATCAATGACAAATATTGAAAGTCTTTACACTTTTTAACTTTCTTTAATCTTCGTCACAAGTCAAATCGGAAAAGAATTTTTGGATGAAGGAAGCATCCAAGAGTAATAATAAAGTACTTCCTCCGTCAAAAATATTCTTCTCATTTGACTTTTCTTGATCAAAGTTTGTAAACTTTGATTCTAATATGTGAGAAAATACATTGTGCTATCATATAACTTTAATATCAATATATTCTTATTAAAATGTACTCCCTCCGTCCTATAATGTTCTTCCCACACACTTTTTACCCGGTCAAACTATAATCACTTTCTTTACCTATTTTCATTAGGTATTCGATAAAATAATATAGTCTTGTCACCACTTGTTTTGTAGAACTTTTGATGTAGTTTTTAAATATATAAATTTTATTTTATAATTTTACACCTACAATCAAATAAATTGAATTGAAAATAAAGTCGGTCAAACTTCGTAAAATGAACAGGAAAGATCATTATAGGACGGATGGAGTAGTTTTAAAAAATCAATTTTTTATAAAATATATCTATATATAAATAAAGATGCTAATG